GTAGAGTTAGTTCTCATTTGTCTTTGAACATTTAGTGGTAACTCTATAGTGAGTCAGTGTAGGCCTAGAGCTTTCATTTCAGTAATATTTTTAAAATTAATTTATTTTTTTATTATTACAGTGATACTCAGATTTTTTGTATTAGGTATTTTTGGTGGCTTATACTTTCAGAATAGTTGGTCCATTTCATTTAAATATTTATATATGTAGAGTTGCTCATAGTACCCTCTTATTCTTTTCATGTCTACAGGGTCTGTAGTAATAGTTTCTACCATTGAGCTACATCGCCAGCCCCTTTTAAACTTTATTTTGAGACAAGGCTTTGCTGTGTGGCCCAGTCTGGCCGCTAACTTGTAACCCTCTTGCCTCAGCCTCCCAAGTAGTGGGGATTACAGGCATGCACCACCACACCCCGCTTGGATTCTGTCAAATATTTGTGGATTGTTTTGTGGTCCAAAATATGTCTCACTTAATATGCATGCCTTAGATTCTTGAAAAGAATGTAAATGTTACTGGTTTTGAGTGTTTTACAAACGTCAATTAGGTCCTTTTGAATGCTGTTGTTGAATTCTTCTGTATCTTGCCGATTTTATATCTGTGTGTTGTATCAATTGTTGAGAGACTAGTCTTCCATTAGAAATGTGAATTTGTGTGCTTCTTTCCCTTCCAATAATATTTGCTTCTTATATTTTGTAACTGGTGTTTGGAGTACTATGCATTGGTCCTTCTCTGTCCTTGGTAATTTTCTTTGCTCTAGAGTCTACTTTATCTAATATTGCTGTAGTACCCTGGCTATTACTTAAATTGATAGATGCATGATATGTCTTTTTTCATCCTTTTACTTTCAACCTTCTTAATGGGTATATTTAGGCCATTTCCATTTAATATACTTACTGATGTTAGTGTTTCTGTTGGTCTATTATTTTTTTTCTGTTTGTTCTCCATGTTTTTTCTATTTCTTTTTCCTGACCTTTTGTGAGTTATTTGAACAATTTTTAGAACTCCATTTGCTTCCTGTATAGTGTTTTTGAGTGGATACTTTAGGTATTGCTATATACATATATTATAGTGGTCTACTGGAGTCAGTATTTTACTACTTTGAATGAAGTATAGAAACCATACCATTCCCTCCACCCCTTTACCTCCCTCTGTTTCTGATGAAATTAAGTTAAATATTTGTTCCTCATACATTTGGAACCATATAAGACAATGTTATAATTGGCATCTGAACCATCAAACATAATTTGGAAAATTCAAGCAGAGAGGAAAATCAAGCCATATGATTTTTTTATACCTGCCATTCTTTCTTCCTTACTGATGTCCAAGACTCTTCATTGTTTTCTATTTAGAGAACTCCCTTTAAACATCAACCAGTAGTATAGACCTGTTGTTGACAAGTTCTCTTATTAGTTTTCCTTCATCTAAGAATGTCTTGATTTCATTCCATATCTGATGTATATTTTCACCACGTGTAAGATTCTCTTTTTTTCACTACTTGAAAAGTATCATGTCACTTCCTTCTGGCCTCCATTTTTTTTTCATTAAGTTTATTGGTACTTTTTATGTATACAGTACAGTTACATTCATCATTCAGATCTTGTACCTTTACATGATGTATCTTGCTTATTTTTCCCCATTCTCCTGCCTTCCCTTCACCTCCACTTTTTCCTTTTCTCATAGTTTTTCTTTTCCCTTCTTTCCTCTCCCCTACCCTTCTCACTTTCCCTGCACCTTAAGCCCTTTTCTTCCTATTTCACATTATCAAATATACAATTTGAACCTCATTTACACTCTTCGTTTTTCACACCAGAGAAACTATTCTGTATTTACATGTTTGTCCTACTTATTTCACTTGAGTAGCGCCTCAATATGCATCCATTTACCTATACATGACTCTAGTTTCTCGTTCATTATGACTGAATAGTACTCCACTTTATAGAAAAACACATCTTCTTTATCCAGTCTCCAGTGGATGGGCAATTGGGCTGTTTCCAAGTTTTAGCTAAACTGTGCCACTATAAACATGGGTGCACATATGTTGCTGTGGTATGATTCTTTTAATTCTTTTGGAAAGATACCCAGCAGAGGAATAGCTGAGTCAAATGGAATCTCTAATCCTAGTTGTTTGAGGTATCTCCATATTGATTTCCATAGTGGTTGCACCAGTCTGCACTCCCACCAACAATGGAGAAGGGTTCCTATCTCCCTACCACCCTACCAGCATTTGTTACTGGTTGATTTCTTGATAGCAGCAATTCTTTCTGGGGTGAGGTGAAATCTCAGTGTTGTTTTCATCTGCATCTCTCGAATGACCAGTGATGTGGAACATTTTTTCATATATTTACTTGCTGCTTTTACTTCTTTGTCTGAGAAATGTCTGTTCATTTCAGATGCCCATTTTTGAATTGGGTCTTTATATTTGGGGGCGCTGATTGTTTTGAGTTCTTTATATATTCTAGATAATAGTCCTTTGTCTGAGGAGCAGATGGTAAAAATTTTTTCCCACATTGTAGGTTGTCTCTTAGGTCTGTTGGTGGTTTCTCTTACAGTGCAGAAGCTTTTTAATAAGATGATATCCCAGTTGTTGATTCTTTGTGCTAGTTCCCATGCTACTGAGAATTTGTTCATAAAGTCTTCTCCTATTCCAATGTCTTCGAGAGTTCTACATAACTTATCTTCCAGCCGGTTTAGTGTTTGTATTTTAATATTTAGATCTTTAATCCACTTCGATTTTAGTTTAGTGCACGGTGGAAGATAGGGGTCCAGTTTTAATCTTCAGGCCTCCATGTTTTCTGATCAGATATCTGCTGTCATTCAAACTAGATTTCCCCTATAGGTAGTAGCATTTCTCTGTACCTGCTTTCCAGATTGTGTCTTCACATTTCAGAAGTTTGATTAAAATGGGTCTTGGAGTGGATTTCTTCAGATTTATACTTTTTGAGCTTCACTCAGCTCCTTGAGTTTCCAGGTTTATGTCTTTTGCCAAACTTGGGAGGTTTTTAGCCATTATGTACTTGAGTGTTTCTGCAGTTCCATTTGCTCTCCATCCTTCCTTTCTGGAATTCCAATTCTGTGATTTTCAGATCTTTTGGTTATAATTCTAGTTATCCCCAGATTTCTGTTTAATTTTTTCCAGTAAAATTTCTCTCTGAAATGCAGATTGAGTAATTCTCATTGTCTTATCTTACTTCTTTGTGTTCGTTCCATCTCACCTTTAGATCCCATCAACTGAGTTTATTTCAGTTATTGTATTTGCAGTTCTAAAAATTCTGTTTTGTTCTTCTTTATATTTTTGTTTCTTTGATGAGGAATCTTATTTCCTGGCTGAGACATTCTCTGGTTTTTTTTGTTTGAATAAAGCATGGTTGTAATTGTTGGTAAAAGTATTTAAGTGATTACTATTTTTAAATTCTTGTCAGATAATTCTAACATCTGTGTCATCTTGGTGACACTTCTGCTGATAATATTTTCAATTCAGTTTTAGATCTTCCTGGTTTTTAATATGACAAATGCTTTTATTGAAATCAGGACATTTGGATGTTATATTATAAAACTGGCTGACTTCCTCTGACACTGCTCTGACATGGAAGAGGGACTATCTCATTTCTATCAAGTGGGTATTGAAGTCCAGGTTCCACATTTAACCTTTGCTGACATCAAGGGGGTGGTGCTCACCATTACTGCTAGGTAACAGTGAAAGTTCCAGGTCCCCATCAGGCATCTACTGGTGTCACTCTAGTGGGGAAGGGAAGAAATGCCTCATTGCTCCCAAATAGGATTGGAGTCTAAGGTCCCTGCTTGCTCCTTGCTGAAAGGATCAAATGGGACTGCAATGTTTTATCTGGTGTTTAGCTGGACTAGAGCAGTTTTGCCTAAATGTGCTGTCTTGCTAGCCTGCCCCTTTCCTGGTCCTCCGGCTAAAAACAGCAGGCTTTTGTTGAGACCTTTTTGTCTATGCCCATTGGCATTCTGGGTTGTTGGTTCTTTTAGCTTCACGTCTGGAATATATGAGGCAAAAGAAAGTCTGGGGAACTCACCACAGCATTTTTCCTCAGATCCCAAGATCGCGATCAACCTTAACTTTTCTCTGCCTTTCAGGGTCTTCTTATATTTGTTTTATATATAATATAAGGAGGTGTTAGTTGTATGCAGTGGGAGAATGGGGAAAGGTACTTCTCTGTCTTTCCAGAAGTGTACGTTTGGACTTTGAGATTTTTAGAGCCTGCTGCTGAACCACCAAGGTTTATGGTAAATAAAATTGCCTATAGATATGAATGTCCTAGCAGATCTCTTATTTCATATCTGCCTGAACAAAAAGGTAAGATAGCGTTCCCCGGATTTGCACGTCTACTCATCTGTCATGGAGGTGCACGTTGGTGTAGCCAGGTCATAGTTCGCTGCAGTTCCTGTAAGCCAGTGCACCAGAGTTTCATGAGCCCCTTCCAACATCCATTGCGTTCTTTCAGTGTCAGCCAGGCTTTGAACTGTGCGTCTGTTCATTGACTTGGTGCTGGTAAGGCCAGAGTTGGTGTTTCATCCTTCTGTGGATCCTAAAGCTGACTCTGGTAAAGCTGAAGGGTCCCTAAGCCATCAGTTGATGCAGCCACCATGTTTTTTTTCCTATAAGGGAACTGCATTTCAGAGAAAAGAACAGCCTTTCTCTGGGTCTCAATGCATACCACACAAAGGCAAAGCCAGACCCAGGAACCATACTCCCCAGCTATGTGCCTAGGGTTATTTTAGTTACATCAGACCATTCGTCTACCCACCTCTGTGTTCTCCAGTGAACTTTGCTGTGCTGGGATTGGAGAACGCCAACTGCCTCCCACAAATGCCCCTTGCCCGCGGAAGTAGTGGTACTCAATGAGGGTGGTGGGGTGGGGAGAGAAATGGGAAAGGGAATGTGGCTGACTCCTGTCCTCAAGAGTAAAAGTCTGATTCATGGGGTCAATGGTCTCATCTTTGTATCTGAAAGACAGTGTACTTTTTGTCTCCCTAAGCCCTGTGTCTAGGTCGTTTGGGAAGCGCCTTGGAGAGCCAAGAATAAAACTGCAGTTCAAACAATGGATGACTGGAAAAGTCGGCTTGTAGTCAAGAGCATGCTTCCCCATTTCGCCATGGTGGGAAATCGTCAGGAGCCCAGAAAGCTCCAGGAATCGGTCAGAAAATGGGCTATGGGGGAGGGGGGTTTGAATGCTTCTGATCTTAAACTTGAATATGAGCTGTGTTATTGAAAGTTCTCTATGCAAATGTGATGGTGGGTGACCAGCCCAAAATAGAAGGCACTCGAATCTGATGTAGGAAAATCTAGGAGATGAGCTAACCTGCCCCTTGAGGGTTTCTGAAAGAGCTGCAAATATAACTCAAACCTTTATCTGCATTCTTGGTCCACCCCTTCAGTGAGAAGATGATGAAGAAGTTCCTACCTTTTCTGTTCATAGAAGTCAGCCAGACGTTGAGCACTAGATGCACTGCACTCTCTTCCCAGTGAGTAGGGCACAGAAAAGGATTCCCATTCAACCCTCTGGCCCTAGTGTCCTTTCTAAAATTTATTTAACGCTACTGCTTTCCTCCCTGGAAATCCAGACATCATCTAAGTCTCTGAAATTCAGCACTGGGGATTCAAGTGGTAGTTCTAGGGGCCAGGGTGATGATAGAAGGGGCCATGAGAGTCACTGGTTGGTTTTGACAATAAAAGCCTGCAACAGCACCAGTCTACCAAGATTAGCTCAGTTAGCAGGAGCTGCAGCAAACACAATGGCTGTTATCTCAGGATATTTGGCCTTCGGGGGAAGGGCTTGCTTAATTTCTGAAATTAATAGAGCAGAGAGGAAATGGCTCTTATAGAGCCATGGGCCTGCTTCCTTCCTGTTCATAGAATGAGAAGCCCTGGGTTCTGAGGTAATGCCATTTCACATAACTAGAGGGCCTGCCTTCTCTAATTCCCAGGACAATCTACTTTCTGTTTATTTTAGTATT